CGGCCATGGTGCATGTTGAAATCGTACTGCTTGATGAGGTCCAATTGCTTCTGGGTAGCCTTGGCAGCGCCATTTTTTGTTGAGCGCATTGCTGTCACAACTGCGGAAAACAGGAGTGTACGGCATCCAGAAATGGTGGATGTCAAAAATTTATGGCATCAACAATGGTGGATTTCATAAATTTATGGCCGCCCTGGACACGAACCCCCTGGATATATTTGATGGCCGTAAGACGAACATCATCTTCAACAGTCATGTTCTGGGCTTCCATGTTAAAATTAAGAAGTGTCGTATCCTATAGGCAGAGACAGAAAAAAATGTTAGAAACCACCCAGTATGCAGGCTCAGGAACGTTTCAGAAGCCTTGTAGTCTTTTCCGGTATGTCTTGGAGTGCAGAAACCAGGGAGAGTAAGTTTTTGATCATCAGAGCCCCTGTTCATATTAGTTACACCTTCTGTATATGTATATATATATACTATTATATTCCATTATATTATATTATATTATATTTTATTATATTATATCATATTATATCATATCATATATTATATAATATAATATAATAATATAACATAATATAATATAATATAATACAATATAATATAATATAATATAATATAATAATAAATATATATATATATAAATATTATTATATATTATTAAATATATATTATTATATATATATATATATACTTTTATATTATATATATTATTGTATATATTATTATAGATATACATACTATATATTATATATACTATATATATATGTCATGGTTTCATCCCCTACGTTGAAGATGTTGAAGTTTCGATCTCGGGGGCCTGCGAAGCACGTGCCGATTTTGCAGGTCCAGTTCGATTGGCATAACGTATTACGTGGTTGCCATTTTGCCAAACATGGGAACTTCTGAACGACAAGCCTCTGGGATTCCGGACGTTCTTCTCGGAACTGATCAAACCGAAGGTTGCTCTTTTTAAACTCCCGAATGCGCTTTCAAAACTCCTCCATTCGCAGCTGCAGTTTAGGACCAAATGATGCAACTTCAATTGTGTAGGCACTGAAATATATCCCAATTCATCCTACTTGTGGTGACAACCAAACAACTCACAACTTCAAACCACAGAAATAGCTGAAAAGATCATCCAACAAGTGTCTATAAATAAGACATTCATTGATACAGTAATGTCCGCATCCAGATATAGGAAGGTTCCAACGGTTGCAGATAAAATGAGGTGGAATGTCAAGGGGCTACGGTAAACTCCTTTTGGAGGGGGCAGTTGGGCGACCAAAAGCGTACAGTAACTACAGGAATACCTCATGAATGCATCAAGCGGCATGACATGGATGATACAAAATAGGTATGAATCACTGAGAATGGTGAAGGATTCTGGGTCTTGTTCTTGTTCTTGTTGTCGTTCTTGTTCTTGTCGTTTCTCTCGTTGTAAAAAAAAAACAATTCTGACCAACAGGAAATCCAAATCATCTGGATATTTCTTGGTATACTAACAAAGTGGCAAACTTATCTGGATTCAACTGGACTTATATATATATATATACCTCCGGCAATCAAACGTGGCAAGTGGAAATCCCCTACAATAATGGAGGTTCCAATGGGAAATCGTCGAACTAAATGACATCTTTCATTGTCATGTTTCATGACAGTAGAGCATCCACAATTTGGCACCGGAACCTTCGATGCCCATAGGGAAGTGTCTGAAAATAGGATACCATCTGGTAAACGAATATATATATATATATACACGTATATATATATATAGCTATAGAAACAGACATTTATAGTTGATTTAACTATTAACAATTATTAAAGCTGGTGATTTTCCATAGCTATGTTAGTTTACCAGAGGGTAACCCAAATCTGGCAAACTGCCACGCTTATGATGATTTAGGAACTCATGTTCTCTTTTCTATTCGCTATAAAATGGGGTATGCCCTGATTTGGAGACAAAACCACATGGCTAATCTTGGATATCCTGAATTGAACAAACCATGACTTTGAGGTATCCACACTCCAAAGAAAAAGGTTTGACAGGTCTACTGACATGTAAATGAGCATATTTACTGAGTAAATATTTGCTGACATACCCGCTGGGATAATTTAAGACATATTCGCTAAGATATTTCAAGCATCATCTGTGACATGAAATTACAGGGATAAAATCCGGCATTTTAACAGTTGTACAATGTGACAGCTTATCTATTTCGATATCTATGACAATTGATCCAAAAAAGGATCGACAATGAGTTCTGACACCACTTCTTTCTCTCGGAGAGCCTGCACGAAAGAAATTGTGCTTTTGGGGCTGGTTTGCAAAAGCGCACATATATCATATATCCCATTATGACAAACGTAAACAATGTAAAGAGTTCACCTGCTCACCCAAGATTTACACTGTGTAGCACTTGTCAGAGTGACTAAGTTGATCTTTAACTGACAACCTTTGTCAACCAATGATGTTTTGTCAACATCAGATATTAGTACTTGGCCAATCTTAGATACGCAAACAATAACAAATTCTTATCTGGTGAAAAAAGGCCATCAAACAATTGATACCCTGCAAGCCTTGTAAAGGATTAGTTTCTACCCATCTAAAATTGATCTACAAGGTCTTTATCAGGATATTCAACAAGGTCTTATGGGTATTTCACCAAGGATATTGTTCAACTACCCATCCTAGGTCAACCTTGGGGATATTCAACGGCTCCACTCAGGTCCAAGGCTCTTTGTGATGCTACTCTTGGTCCTCGGATTCCTGAGACGGGCAAAAAATTAGGCAATGGCCATAGAGGTGTCCGGGGCCCCAAAATCACATTGGAATCATAAACTATGGAATCATCACTGATCATACATATATATATATATATATTCATTGGAATAAATATCATCATTGGAATCATCGAAAGTGTCGATATCATCATCAACCAGCATGGACTGAAAAGTCTTTTGTGAAACCAAACGGAATTGCCTAACCAATGAGTCCCCTGCTCAAGGGGTGAAGTTGAGTTTGCACCCCGAAATTGAGTGATCTATTCATCGTGGCCAGGCATATGCATATGTATATAATATCTATTTATAGCTTTAAACTATCTTAGTTTTTGGTCATATACAATTGTCACTATCTAGCCAGGCATGTGGTTTCACAAAATTTAGCACTTCTGGCCAGGCTATCTGAAAAACAGCCATCAAACGCTGCAACATGATTGATCTCATCGGAGTGTCTCCAGGTCTCATATCATTGGTCCATGTGAAGACTCACATTCCGAACCAATAATGTCCTTTTGGTAAAACTAGAGGGGCCGGTTTGGTATACCATCTATCATCATTTACCTGTTCTTAAAGGGGGTTCTTCAAACCCCTCTTTTTTCATCAACCAATCAATGGGAATTTGGGACATCTATGTTCCAAACCACCATGTTCCAGGTATTTCCAGGCCCACGCCAGAGGTCTCCACGTCATTAGCATCCTCCTTAATGGCTTCCTCAAGTGAACGTGTGCGAAAGATGTAGACATCCTCAGCGTCGCAGCAGAGCTAAAACATACAGAACCGTGTCATTTATTGTTTTTCTTGGGATACGAGCCATAAATCACAACCCGCCCAAAAGAGATTGAATTTGATCGAATCCTACTCCGATAGTACGGTCAGTTATTTATCTAGCAGCCTAGCATTTTTTGGGGAGTGCTATAGATCCATGCATATTCAGCAGCAAAACTCTAGACATCAATATGGTTTTGTCAAAAAATGGCGGACATTGTTTTGCTTTTTGCCACAAAGACATTGGAATATTATGTTTTAAAACGTGACCTTTTGTGGCATCCTATGCTCCAGGGAAAAAAAACCTGTGTGTGTGTGTATGTGACTAAACACCACGCCCACCAAACAACCTCCCACAGAGCTCTTGGTCAAAACTCATCATGAGGTCTTTTTTTGGGAGTGGAACACACCTATCTGAGGTCTTTTTTTGGGAGTGGAACACACCTATCTCTCTCTCTATATATATATATATATATGTATGTGTATATGTGTATATATATATATGTGTATACATATATATATATACACATATATGTATATATATATATATATATACATACATATATGTATATGTATATATATATATATACATATACATGTTTTAATATACATATGTTATATGGCCAATGATGTACATATACTCAGAATCAAGTTCATACTTAGCTGTTCCTAAAGTAAACAATAACCAATTGACATGAATTGACAAAGGTTTACCTCAGGATTAGAGTAAGGCAGATTGCTTGGTTGATCAATAACCCAGGTAATGCTCTGCTGGCTAAGCCCAGAGTCATTGGGAGTCTACCAAAAAATCTCGGTTTGGGAACCAGGGACACCCTTTGTTCCAGTTTCTTGAGCAAAGCCTCAACTCCGGCAATTCCAACACTCAAACATTGCTGAGCGGGGATTGTCATTGTCCAAGAATGGTCTCTTGATATTTCTTGATTCAATTCGTGGCTACTGGTCAATCTCGTGTGTCCACCAGCACAGAATAAGATCAACAAAAATGCGGATGAATCAACCCATCCCCATGTGTCGTCTGGGATGATAATCATTCAAGGTCGGGTTGGCCGCTGTGCCACACCTCTGATTATTAGGATCCCAATGCCACTGGTCTCATGTCCTTGCTTCTAATGCTGTCATACCCATTTTTGCTACGTGCCCCTGACCAAAACGGATTCCTGTGGTAGTCAGTCACTGCTTTTCATCAATAAAATCTACAGGTCCTGCCAGGTGCTATGGAAAACTTTCCGGTAGTCCCTTGGTGGCTACCTGGGAAATCCCTTCCAAAAGCTTCCAACTAAACCCACCATTTGTGGATCATTTTCCCAGGCTTCCCCCATTGGAATCCCCATTAAAAATACGGGATTTTGCAGCCACCTTTGACACCGGACCCACCTGGAGTTCCAAGCAGCCGTGCGAACTTTGACCTGGATTTGTGAAGAGGTGGCACTGAAGAAAAAGGATGGAAATTTATGTGGAAATCATGGCCAACCTTAAATCTTGGCTGGGGTATTCTGCCAGGTATGGTCAACAAGCCACGAACCTATCCAAAACCCAAAGGTATCATGTGTGCCATTATCCAAATTTGCGTAAATGTAAATTGGCCCAAAAACTGGGTCATCAATCCACCTCAGGGTTCTATTCATAAATTACAATATGAGGATACCGATTTTATTCATATACCCATTTGTGGCTAAACATTGGAGTCCAACGATATGATCAAAACATACATTACTCCACATCATCTGTTCTTCAAATATATCGCGAACATTTAGATTGCATCAGCTATCTAACCAATAAAACCCCTAACGGTCACTATACCAATGTTACAAACTGTCTACTCTCTAAAAATCAAGCACAGTTTTATGGAAAATCCGCCATTTGGTTCGATGACTTTCCAATTACATGTATGTATAGGTATATAGATATATGATTATATACGCATAGATAGATTACCATTTAGTTCGGCGATTTGCAAACAAGGCTTTTGGCCAAAGAAAAACTCAGAACTATCACTATACTAATATCGATAATTAGATCGTCTAACATTGTTTGTAGTGATACTATGTGATACTTGATAATTGCACATTACCATATATATATATATGTATATGTATATATATATATATTAAACATATCGTCTAACTGTACTTTACACTTTAACATTATTATGGGAACATCACCCATTTCAAATAGATTCAAGTAGGTAAATCATCTATAAACCTGCGAATGTTTCATCTGTCGTTGCCTGAAATCGATTCAATCCACAGCTCCCTCGCCATTCGCGGCGGCGGCCTCCTTCAGGATGGCGTTGAATTTACGGTACACCAAGGTGACACGGGAATCGCTCGTCTCGGTGTTCACCCAATTGCCGATCCTGGACTGTAGGAGGGGAACTCCGAACAAGGCAGTTTGGGAATCAAATGAAGACAACCAGTATGACATATCGTGTGTATGTATAAAAACACACAATATTGCTTTTATGTAATATATATATATATATCTAGAGAGAGAGAGAGAGAGTCATGTGTATGCATACGTCTATATATAGTGTCATATATATATATATATATCATACCAATTGATACCATTACTACAAGACACTCGCCAATCATCCATGCGGACTATTCTACTATCATTCGACACAATGACTGGCATCCGCGTATGCTTCAGCATGGCTGATCCGCACACATTGTAGTCTTTTGACAGACCCTACCGCCATCAACTAATACTGGTAACCTTACTAACTTTACTGCAAGTAGATGATATGAATATGCATGCAACACTTGTATATATATATCAACTTCACTGCAAGTAACTACAACACAATTTGGGCAATATATATATATATATGTATACTATACTTCAATATTCCAAAAAATCACAGACAAACAAATATATATATATATAACTATTTTCACTGAACTATATAAATACATATATATATATATATACATAACTATTTATATATATATATATATTAATTATAAATAACTATAACTACATGTATATATATATATACATAACTGTATATCTAACTATAGCTATAACTACAGCATATATAGTATTCAAAACTATAAATAAAACTAAACACATACCAATATATATATATATATAACTAGATAAATAACTTTATATATATATATACATATAGCTGTATATATATATAACTATAAGTGTAAGTATATATATATAACTATATATATATATAACTATATTTAATTACATAGTATATTATATTATGTATGATTATGTATAATTGTACACATTACTTTCCAAACCAACAAACCAAACTTAATCCGATTCTTGGGTTGGTTCCCTGTCCCTTTATCCAAGAGACGTTGACAATGCATATCGAGCCCCAGACTTCCTGGATGGCCGAACATATGATCTATGTATGGGGTGCAGGATCACTTCATTACTTGAATGTGTTGTCAATGTTGGCAATTCTAAGCAATAAAAAACAATAAAACCACTTATGAATACAGGCAGTCTTCCATACATGGCGCTGAAGGACCTGATCATGTCCTGCGAGCACAAAAAGTTGGGCAACTAAACTGGTGTTGAACTCACGTGCAACGTGCGAGATGTGAATTGTGGTTTTGACCGCCTTTTGATGCATTTGACAACACATGAATACAGTAATTAATTGTCATATGATGCAGTTCAAGTAGAACCAAACAAACAAACAAACCAAACAAACCATACAAACCAAACAAACAAAGAAACAAACAAACAAACAAACAAAGAAACAAACAAACAAAGAAACAAACAAAGAAACAAACAAAGAAACAAACAAAGAAACAAACAAACAAACAATAAACAAAGAAACAAAGAAACAAAGAAACAAAGAAACAAACAAACAAACAAACAAACAAACCAAACCAACCAAACCAACCAAACAAACCAAACAAACCAAACAAACCAAACAAACCAAACAAACAAACAAGGGACAATGGCGAGATATTTTTTTTGTGATTTATCAGTCGACACCAAGCAATACCCTCCGGTGATATCAAATATGAGAAATTTTCTCAAAAGTTGACAGGCATCCTGGGCATATATAAGATTTACCGAACGTTTGGGAGTTTTCCGGCATTGCCATGAATGATTTCGTCGAGGCCTTGGCACACGAGAATCCGCAACTGCCAAGAAACCACCAAGACTCGCAATATTTTTCAGTCAGAAGATTCTTTGCGTGAAAACATACTGCAGCTGTATGCCGGAGTCTGTATTTTTTTTTGGGATGACTACACGAGAGGATTTTTCATGAATTCCAAACAGAATTGGAACCTCAACCACCATGGAAGATAGATCAGATGACAGTTATGACCTTGGACCATCCCATGGTGTCGAATGCCGCCAAGCTGACTGGATATCCTTGTTTGATTTTACTGTGCTGTGAGATAGTGTGAGTATATGGTTTATCTATATAAAATCTAGATTGTATATTTTACTGGATAATATCCATAGATATATATATATATATGTATAGTCAATCTATGGCGCCCACCAGAGCAAGGTTTATTCTGAAAAAATATGTTTCAAGACCAAACCAGTAAGGGTAACCCGTAAGGGTAACCCACGGGTACCCTGCTTTTTCCAGATGATGGAGTATCATCCTCGTGGATCTGGAAAATGTCGATGTCTCATGTCATGTATCAATCAATAACACTTGTTTTGGTATGTCAAAGTGCACATTTGCGTGTTATTGATCAATCCCTGTGTTTGATGGTCCGTTTCCATTGTTATATTCATGTAAATCATGTTCAGGCGCATGTTTGATGGCTATACACATCCATGTTTGATGCTTAATTCACATGATTTCTTGTGTCAACTCATATTTCTTGCGGATAAACCACCCGTTTTTGGCAGTGAATCCCCTTGATTTTTCCCAGTCGAGAAATCCCAGGTCTCCTGTAGCCTTGCCCTCGCTGCTGACCAAACCTCAGTGATTTTGGATCTCCCTCAGCCAGTGGACGTTGATTTCTTCCATGGAATCCTATGGACACCCAAAATATCAAAATAAGCAGCTTCAGACATGGAGATACCGTAAAGCACGAGATATTAGTTGTTGTTTGCATTTCTGTCATAGGTAAAAATGTTCCAATCTTCTACAGTTGTTCCGAATCATCCGTGGGTTTGAAATCTGCGACATGCTTCTAGAAGAGGGACTTGATAGTTTCCATGTACCATGTTGCCACAACTCCCCTTGGTATGGTCCCACCCTCCATTTGCGCACTATTTGCAGGATTTTGGAGCTGCAGCCCGCACTTTGCAGCATTTCAGACCCACCTTCCCAACGAGGCATTGGCTACCTATGTATTTTAGGACAATCTACCTCTGCATTACCTACCAAACTACCGTTCTTTTACATGTGTACTACGTCTATACAGACACCTACATACTACCGTATGATGTGTACTACTTGCATTCTCTCTATTAATTATATACAAACTACGTATCACCCCCCAATAGGATCCTCCCTACAACTTACAGCCTATCTGCGTACTACTTATAATTACTTCAGTATATAGATTAATAAACATTCATAAACTATGTTTGTCACCACCGTAGTAATATGCTGCATATACTCATTCTACCTTATCCATCCATACCTGTACATAAGCATACACAAGCTATATACATATATAGGACCAATATACTACACATAGACTATTGATGTACTACATGCATATTGCCAATATCATATACTCATCATACATATATATATACTTTTATATACTGATTGTATTTCTACCTATCACCCTCGACCCTCCACCACACCCCCCAACCCCACCACAGGTTACAGGGGAAGGGTATTAACAAGATTCCAACCACAGCCTATACTCACTATATGACGATATACTCACTGGTGTGTCACACCTCACACAGAAGCTACCAGCTACCAAAACATACCAAAAAAACGGGGCGTGGCGGGTCGGGAACGCCGTAGTATATATATATATATATATATATACGTACTTTAACAACGTACAAAATCACGCAAAAACAGTACCAAGACAAAATCTGTCCATATCTTCCTTACTCTGCAAACCTACAGTGCCGCGCCGAGAAACAATGCCGTTTGCAGTTCTTCCCGTTCAAGTCACACCTACAGATGGAATTTCTGATGGGCTGTCTGGAGGGTACCCCATTCCTTGACCTTCAATGGACCCACCAAAATGAATCAAAATCATTTAAAATCCATGATATTTTTGGGTAAATACAAATCCTTATAGGTAAACTAGTGTTTTTATACCGGGGAATTTTTAAGCAGGGCATTTCCAACAGGGCTTTCCAGGGGTATCATAATGCCACAGAAGCGCGAACATTATGGGTTTAACGAATGGGAATAATAGCCTTCGCTGACCATACGCAAAATGAATTAATTTTATGGCACATATTACGAACTATACCCATACAAATCCATACAATATGTTTCCCCAGAAAAGGCCGAACTCTTCACGTGTTCAGCTTCAATAGGTTGCAAAGATTGACCTTGCGAGCCTCTGATTTGCGGGATAACAGCAGCAAAGTAAGGTTCTGAATTCATAAAAAAATGAGTACCGCTTGATTCTGGTAAACTTGAATTCAGAACATTCTTGTATACACTTCGCGAGGAAGGTTCGGTGACATCCATGCAAGATACACATTGATATATCAACTAATCAAGCTCTGGACGAATAGCACGTCCATGCTGGCAAAAAAGGTCCCAATGAACTCTGTCAGTGACTGCCAGAGTGGGTCTATCTATGCCTATGCTTTGGGTACCGGTGAGAGGTGGCATGGCACTGATCTCAGAGTCTTTGCAAAGATCTTGTCTCATTGGACAACCTGGTACGCCAAGAAGAAGAGGGAAAAGGTCTTAAACTTCACAACAAGGAAAATGATGGCAGCACAGCATCAACGATAGAAACATAGTTTGGTGAGTTTGCAAGTGCAAGTGAACTTGAAGCAAAGTAGCATCAAATGAGTATGAAAGTGCAAGAGTGTATCAAGGCAGTCTGCAAGTGAAACGCGACGCTATCTGCCACCCATAAGTTCGTGCAGACATAAAATGAACTTCACTTTGCGTAGCAACAAGTTCATATAGAGCTGAGGTGAAATTTCACGTAGCGTAGCAACAGCTTCTTGCGAAGGTGAACTGGAACTCCCGGTGATCTGGTTGGACCCACAGTCCGAGAAACTCGCTGTGCTTGACCACTTAACTGCCGATCATCTATTTATACACAATTATATACGTATGTATGAGTCGATTTTGTATGTACATACATGTGTATAATAAAAATTGTATATATATATATATGTAATCTGTATATAAATATATATTTATACTAACATTGGTTTGTCTTCTTTTTTCGTGTGATTGTCATCCATTTTGCTGCTTAGATCCCATGATTCAATCCAGGCCCGTTTTTTTTTTTGAATCCCTTAGATCTGAGGATTCCCACGCGTTGATGCTTTTCTGAATGGTCATTAACTCACCTTTGCACTTCCTCGGAGGCTGGGAGCTACTTGGTGACTTGGTGCCTCAACTGGTTCGAAAAAAAAACGGTTTTTGCTGAAATAAAAAACCTACATTGACATTGCCACTACTTACCCCAATTACTTACAGTAGTGCTTGCAACTGGGGGTTAGAATCCACTTACTAAGTGGGTGAGCCATCAAGTATATATATATATATATGATATTAAAACATTTACGTGTATAATGTACATATATATATATGTACATTTGAAATCATTTGAACATTTACGCGGAGGATCTTGGATGTACGTCACAGTCAGTACAGGTGAGAAACATCCAATTAATTGTATGTATGTAATCCCGGCTGTCTAGCTGGTTAAATGCCCCTTTCCCAGGGTTATTGTATCCCAGTTAATTGCAAGAGAAATGACTATAGGAACAGGTGACTGATTGATGAGGTTGCTATCCCAGGATACACTGATGACTCTGATGACCACTTACGAACAGGGAGTACAGCCAAATACCCTCAAACCAAAAGGGGGGTATCTCCACCAAAAAGGCTCTGGGAATACCAAGCCACAAAAGTAACCTTTTTTTAAGCGGGCAAGCATTCGATGCCCTCCAAAGATGTTATAGAGTTACAGATCGGACCCAAACATGAAATTGATGTTGATCTTAGCTTTTGGTCACCTCATCTGTAGCAGATATTATCGCATACAGTATATCTTTATTTACTTGTTTATGTATTTATTATTTATATACTTGTACAATGATATACAGTACAATATTTATAATATACGATATAGACTTATAGAAATATATAAGCGCACCAGGTTTTCTGGTAGCAAATATGTCACAAAGAAATATATTCTCAAAATTTCTCAACTAGATTCATCAACTAAAGATTTCCAGGCAGTCAGATTGGCTTTCAGGATGACATCTTGTGGGAAGTCTATCCAAGCTGACAACGAGGAATCCGCATGTTGAATAGGTAGCGCATCCGTAAGTTGGGATTTCTCAAATTCCAGGAATCACTTGGGGTCATGTCAAAGGGATTAGTTTATCGCAACCAATGGTTCTCATTTTGATCCCTCGCACTATAGTCTATAGATCCCGGCTGGGGGCCGCAAACGAGCCCAAAAAGGTGGCTAAACAGGAGAATCAAAAAATGTGGTATACCATAGTATACCGCATTTTGTTGCTATTTTGATAGGCGAAGTTGGATCAAAAACTGCATTTTGAGGTACCCTAGTTTTCGACAAACCCAGTCGCTAAACAATTTTCCCAATGCCAAGCTTCTTGTTCCACTTCTTGCTGCCTTCCTTCCAGATGTACACCTATCTTCTTCGGCGCTCATAGCTTGTTTCGCTAGGTTCTTGGGGTGTTGCGGAGATTTCAAGACAAGTCTTTCTTTTGGTGTCGGGCTACTCCATTGGTACTTCTTCTGTATGCATGTGCATATGTATTTCTTTAGGTTTACATATTATATCATTATATATATATGTATATATACATATATACATATATACATATACATATACATATACATATACATATATATATACATATATATATATACATATATATATATATACATATATACATATATATATATATCATGAATGTATTGGTGCTGTTCATCCATCATTACACACCAATAACACAAGTGGCTGCGTTGTGCTGACGGTTGGCCCAGGCTGAGGCTGATCATCCAATGTCTCAAGGTAGTTTAAGAGAAAGGATTCAACGTATGATTGAGTTTTTTTTGTACCTTACCAGGAAGTATGTGGATTCTGGAATCATAGAGAATTGTCTTGTTCCGAGTAATTTTATTTAACATAAATCACCAGCACTTCCAGTAAGAATTTGAGAGGACCTTTGACTAGCTCGTCCCGCACCTCAAAGCGGTTCCAAACGCCGAATCAACCAATGAGTGGGTTACCATCCACCATCAATGGGGTTTATCTGGTATGTATATTGTGTATCTAGATAATACAGTTCACATATGTATAAATATATATATATATGCACATGTAGGCGTGTCGTGATGTATAGTGCAATGTATAAACAATCACTGTATATACTTACATATATATATATACTGTATATGATATTATGTATACACACTATGTACACACTATATACTCTATATTATACATCATAAACAACAATGTATGCTCATATTAAATTGTGGATAGGCAATTTTCCTGATCCCCTACACAGTAGTATTAGACAAATACAGCCATATAATATCATAATATCATATATTGTGAAATAAGGATAAATAAGGATACTCATATACTATATACTCATATACACACATCTGTCCAATGGATACTGCAAAAGCAACACTAAACAAACATGTTTTAGACTAAACTCATCTGACTTAGAAACATCTTATCCCTCCACATCCTCGCCTTCCGGCCGATCTCCAAGGCGTTGTCAGCTTCTCCCCAGGTCAGCATCCCTTTGATGTGATCCTGTACCTTGCACTTGCCTTCGCAATAGATCCTCGGGCCCAGGTGAAATCTGCCACGGAGTTGGTGACGGTGACATGGAAACCATGGAATTTACCGAACCAGGAGCAATGAGATCCTTGGGCAACAAACGTGATCGCTTTACCAACAAACAAATGGAAAAGAGCAAGACAAAAGGTAATCTTATTGATGACAATGGGAAATTAAGAAAGAAACAGGTGGATTAAGCAAGCAAACATACACAAACAGTGCAGCATGAATTCTGTGGGATCTAAGCAACACAAAATGGGATTTAAACAGTACACAATGTGGATTTTTGATGATTTATGCAACACAAGCGACACAAGGGGAATTTAATTGACGAAACCATGGATATATGCGGCAAAACACAGTGATTGATTTCTCTGAAACACATGATTTAACTGACAAGAAGAGAGATAAAATCAACAAACATGTTATACACGATATCCTCCTGTAACCAAACATGGTTTGCCACAAATTTCATCTATTTTAAGATGATCTAGTTAGACCTACACGTTGAACCATTGATTCCCCATGGACAGGTTTAAGGGAGAGTAAGTCTGTTGCAGGTGAGAAGCCACTTGTGACTCGACCAACGAGGCTGTTCAGGAAAGTCGATGATATCCACAACTTGCCCAAACATCCCAAACATGCACACAGTACATACGACAGGTGCAAATTGGTGCAAACCTCAAGTATATGAGCTACTCATATACCCACATAGTGGGGACATAGTGGGGCCTCCTGGTTGTAAGTTTTATTGTAACCCAGTCCAACAATATATATATATGTATTATCATTATAATTATAATAATTACTATTTATTAGCATTAATAGTATGATTAATATTATTATTATTATTTATTTACTTATTTAATTTAGTTATTCATTTCTTTCTTTCCTTATTTATTTATTATCATTATTTAATATTATTATTAATCATTATTGTTATTACTTATTATTAATTCTTATATATTATTATTATTATTATTATTATTATTATTATTATTATTATCATTGTCATTATTATTATTAGTAGTAGGAGTAGTAGTAGTAGTAGTATGTATTCTCATTGATTATAGTTATTGTTGTTTTTTAAAATATATATATATGTATGTTATATATGTATCTGCTATAAATAAATATATATATATATATATGTACCCCATAAACCGGAGTCGGAGTTATTGTAGGAAACCAGTTTTACAAGGTACAGCAGGATATTATCATATTCCTTCATTTCTAGACTGAGTTCCTCAGAGTTTCTTGTCCGGTTTTTGTATTGGTTAATCGGCTTTTAAAAACCACAAATATCTACAGATATTTCATGATATTTCCTGATATCAATGATATTTCATGATATTTCATGATATTTCATGATACTTCATGATATTTCATGATATCAATGATATTTCATGATATTTCATGATATTTCATGATATCAATGATATTTCATGATAGTTCATGATATTTCATGATATCAATGATGATATCCCTATCCCTGGAAGAAACAAAAGAAAAACTACAGTAGACCAACTTACTCTTGGGGCCTGGGGTCAGCGCCCGGTGGCCATCCTTTTCACCAAGAATCTCCACCTCCAGGTCTGTCACGTTCAGGAGACAATCCTTGGTGCAAATTGGGCCAACTCCACTAGTTAGTGGTTTTAACCCCTCTGAAAAATATGAGTCAATGGACACGATTATCCCATATATATCCCATATATTATGGAACATAAAACATGTTTGAAACCACCAACCAGTCCATGATGGTAAAACATACAACCTCCAGTAGATTTACATACTAGGGGTTGGTTTTCACTATTAGATAGGGGTTGGAAGATTAATTAGGGTTGGAAGATTTCATGTACATCTAGTCAGATAGGGGTTGAAAGATTAGTTTCCACTACTAGACATGGCTGGTTTTCAGGGTCTTTGTTAATGTACCAGAGGGTATAATGTGGTAAACCCCAATGTCTTAAAGCATCCCCAAGGCATCCCCACTTTTATAAGTGGGATTGAAACCATCTTCAGTCATGGTACTGTTTAGTTGTTTCTGGCACAACGGGGCTACCACATTAACAATCATTAACCAAGATCTTCTGCGTAATACTGCACGTACCATGGTTACAGTAATCTTTGGTAGTCTGCCAGAAAAACATGTGTTTGTTGGTTGTGGTTGTTTTCCATTTGTAGCAAACAACTAAAAAAATAGTTTCTAATTTCTACCCAGTCGGTTGGGGATGTGCTGTCTATTGTTGGTCATTATGACCCCGATTAATATGGTAGTTGGTGTAATTTACAAACCAATCAGTTATAATCAAATCAAATTGACAGTAGATCTAAGGATCATGGATTATATTTGATAACTGATATTATATATATGGTAGATTATGACCCCGGTATATCAGTTATCAAATCAAATTGGTGAAGGCTACGACAACAGTTGGTGAGTCCATCATGTTTCCCAACAATTGCCGGTGATGTTCGAAAAGAATCCCCCTGATGTATCGCAACAATTGATGTTATCCCAGTGATATTTCCATTTTCTTTGGGAAAAAAAGGCAAGCCCCCCAACGGGTCACCCTCATGATTTCAAAGGCCGCATCAACAAGGTCATGAGGGAACACACACATATTATATATATATACCTCGATCGGTGGGAGGAGAACATCCTTGAATTTCCATGACATTGAATATATATATATATTATACATAAATGTATATATATATATACATAAATTATTTTATATTTGTATTGTGCCATATATAATAATTATATATACGCTAAAATATACATACTATATAATAGGTACTGTTATACTAAATATACTGTATACAATAATATATGATATATATATATATATAATATGTAAATATAAACATACATACAGACTCAACCATTCAGACCCCGTCTCCGAGCAAGTCACATTGGGAGGTGCCAGCTCCAACTGACAAATGCCTAGGGAAGTCACACGCATGGGGATCTTGCAGCAATGGGGATCGATTTTTGGCTTCCCCAAGAGAGATCAGTTGGTTTAGTTTAGGCTTGACGGCACATATTCTCTGATTGGAGGTTTCACCCCCCTGAAAAATATTAGTCAGATTGGATCATCATCCCAACCAGTGGGGAAAATAAAAAATGATCCAGAATCCAAACCACCAACCAATTATCTATAGTTGGATGGTTCTGGCTGAAACTAAACAACTTTATGACTACCGGGTTTCATCTTGTTTGTGGAATCACAGAATCGAATGGTGATTTATTCCGTCAAAGGTGGTATAATCCCTTCAACAGGATGTTTGGAGATCCGATCTTGAGGTTCCATGTGAGACGTCTGGGGGCCATCAGATACACTCATATATTCTATGTCCGTACATGTCCGTACATATGTGTATATAGTATAATTATATTCCATTCCATGTCTGTACTTATGTATACATACAATATTATATATATACCTAGAGTGGGCGAGTACCTATAGAATGGGTTTGTTACCCCGTTGATTTAGTACCTGTACCAAAATCACCCAAATTCGGTCAAGTGATGATCCCGTCCTCCATCTGCGATCATATTTCCTCGGTGGGCAAGTCAAACTGGCAACTCGCTTATTTCCCAAAAGGATGGATTAAGCATCAAAACTGAGGGTTTTACCATCAACATGGGGGTGACTATCACAATTTTGAATTTCACCGTCAAAATGGAGAACTTAACCAGTTTTCCATCCAGGTGTCTTGTTTCTCTTAGGAATACCCATTTTTGCAGAGAGTATCATCCATTTTAAGCGGAAATACCCGCATCCAATGTGCAGCTTTCACTCCTCGCAGTTCCACGTGTCGAAGCGTCCGAAACATCGGGACTTCTGCACTTGGAGCTTCTCTAAGCAGCGGATATGATTGGCCTCTGGCACTTTCTTAGTGCGGAGAGTTGATCAAAAACTTCCCCAAAAGGAGATGATTGAAGAACGTAACAAAACATGTACAAAAACAGGGGGGTCAACGATTTGACACCCAGACGTCTTTTAGAACAAAAATAATAAGCAATATAGTTCGTATATGTTCGTATAGTAATCTAATAAAGGCAAAAAACAGACTAGTCACAATCATGATATCAATTAATGGTCGGTTCACCTCAACACACATCATGAGCAAAGCTTTTCTGCCATGGCCATGAAACAAACAGTTCCCATCCAGCCTTGGACGACGACTTGATTTTAGGTCTATCTTCAACCCCAAACGCACAAATCTTGCGATTCAATGTATGCCCCAGTCAGAAATATCTCACATCTCACCACAACAAATGGATCCAGCAAACTGGCTGATCATCCGGAAACTATTTTTTGTTTCGCACTTGTTTTTACGCAAACGGGATGATTTTGAGCAATCCCCAACATGATCGAGCAGGTCATAGACCCTTGAAAAGGATCTTACCTGTCTAGCTGAAAACTGCCATCTTTGGATTCCATGTCCGTTGGAAACTGTTCAGTTCAAACTGTCATTTCCATTCACTCTGAATGGAGACAGGTTCAGGATCAAACAAATTGGTATACAGTAACTCAATAACTACCATCATATCTGGTTTTAATCTATATATATATGCCGTACTTGGTGAATCTCCCTAGCCATGTGGTGGCCAAATCACTAACAATCAACCAGCAGATACCAGCAGTCTTGGCTGAAATCGTCAGTTCGAAGGTAAATCAAACACTTCTGCGGGTACAATGCCCAAAAAATATGATATGGTTTGGTCTGATCTATATAGCTTGCCAAAAGATTCAGTAACGTATCATTATATTATTCATCATTTTATTGAGGTACCCCCTGTTGTCCCACAATTCAGGTTTGTCGGAAAATGTAGTATACCACAAAATTGCCTTTTCAATATAGAGAAAATGATGAACAACCAGCGACGTTTTGGATTCACCATTCTTGCACAAAACCATATCGACTGCCCTTCATCAACCCATCAACTTAACACACTTCTTAATCAGTATATATCATGTAATTTAATTAATAAACACATTCTATTCAGTTTATATACTCATCCTGAAGTAGGTAGAATATGGAATGTTCAAGGATATGTTGATTTTAATGTTAGTGGTGTGTAATTTGTCTTAACCTACCAGTATTCTCTATCTACTCCTTGACTGGGTCAACACGTTCCCTGGTAATCCAACACAGCTCTCCAGGATGACTATATATATATACATACATATTCATAAATTAGTATATACATATGCATATATATATATATATATCAGGCCAGCTTTCACCTGGAAATATATCGAACAGCATGATTCACATCCCGCATCGCATGCTGCGTGACCTTCACCATCAAGGAGATGTTGAAGTCGTTTCCTCTGCCATCGCTGTAGGAGTAGACCGGGCCTGCGAGCGAGCCATTGTGGTGGCCATGATGGGCCATGCTTGTCACCAAGTTGGTTGTAGGATATGCTGGAAATATATCTAGCATAGTATATGTGTGTACATATATATTATTATTATTATCATTATTATTTTTATTATTATTATCATTATCATTATTATGAGTAGTATTATTATTATTCGTATTATCCTTTTTTAGACTATTACTGCTACCACTGCTAGTAGAGGGAGCAGAAAAATAAACAAGCACCAGCAGCAGTAGTGGCAATAGAAGGAGGAGATGCAGTAGCAGTAGAAATCGCAGTAGCAGAAATAGTAGTACTAGTAAAAGTCAAAGTTAGTAATCCAATGGCAGTAGCAGCAGCAGCTGCAGTTGTACTAGGAGGAGGAGGAGGAGTAGAAGTAGAAGTAGAAGCAGCAGCAGTAGAAGTAGTAATAGAATCGGACTTTCATATTGGCATTTGTTGTGGCGTGACTGGGTTCGGGTATGGAACGGGTATGGAACGGGTATGGATCGGGGTATGGATCGGGACACGCTATCTGGGCCGGCTTTCCCGCTATGGCTGTGAAGGAAGAGAGCGGGGTATTTCTAGTCTGGTCTAGTTCTACACGTGCCAGGCAAAGCAGAAACAGAAGGAATTGTAATCATAGCGCCACTATAGAAGTACAAGAAGCACCTAGTGGAACTAGAACCGGTCTTACTAGCCTCCAAGGTGCACTTGCAGGATTGCTAGTAGCTAGTCAACTAGTTGCATTTGTCCAACTACCAGAAGCACACGGAGGAAGTGAACCAGCACCAGCAGCGGGAGCAGGACCAGCAGGAGCAGCAGCAGAAGCGACAGCAGTAGCAGCAGCTCCTGGGAGGAAGATGACTAGTAGTGGCAGCAGCAGTAGCAGCAGCAGCAGCACGGAGGCAGCGGAGGCAGCGAGCGGAGGCAGCGGAGGCAGCAGTAGAAGCAACGGTAGTAGCAACGGGAGTAGCAGTACGAAGACCAGAAGCAGTATTAGGATAAAAAGCAGCATTAGGGCCAGCATCAGTCTTTCTTCAACGAGAAAGGGGTACGGATCAAGGGTATGGATCATGCAGTATCATGGGGTATGGATGGGGGGTTATGGATCGTGTGTGGGTCCGGGGCCTTGATCCATACCTTGTATTTTGACTCGTACCCATATGTATATACATATACATATAGTATAATATATATATATATATACACCTTATATATGTGTGTATATATATAATATGTACATATTATATATATATATATTATATATATATATACAACATACATAATTGACAATATAACATACAAATGCAACGCGTCTCTGGCTGAATTTGAAAATGCTGTAGAACCCCTATGCCATCGACCTCCCATTTGGAAATGATTTATACAACCCACGCAGTCTGCGAAATTTGGGATGATTCATGATTTTGTTTTTTTACCAAATTCGGGGTATAAAACAAATCACTGTTATAGCTGGATATTATGTAGAATTCGTAAGATAATGATTTTGTATAATTACGCCAATTTGTGGTACTGAATCGTGAGAATTATGGGGTTCAACCATGGGAATTTAGAGTATATATGTACAAACTCACGTTTGGTGGCTACAATCATGGCGCAGGTGACAACTGCGAGAGTTGGTGGCGTTGTAGATGAGTTTCGCCACGCTGGATAAATGATAGTAGTTCACCAATCTGAAAAGTTTGGTTATTTTGGGATGGTTACCACTTCCTAACCCTTATTCCAGGGTTCGGTCGCGACCTGTACCACTTGCTAACCATTCTTCCATGAGGTCGCGACGTGAGGTCGTGATAATTCCTATCAGAGAGGTACACCGGTACACTCACAATCTGCAGGTGAGGCCGGGCCTGTAATTTTCAATGTGATGATCAATTTGCAATTTTATCTGTAATATATACAGTATACACCATTTGGAGCTAGGTTCACACTGATCTATAGCTCTCAATTACCCTTCGAGCTTGGAATAAACATAGGTAGTTGAACATCCCTTGGAAACCAAACTACAACAACATTGCCATCCTTCACCAATGAACAAATGCTAGTTCCTACGTTCGGATTACGCTGGGTCGGTCAGGGGCTCTGGTGAAAAAATGTCCAGAGTTAACTGGGGTGAAAGTGGGCGAGCTAGCAAGTATTCATGATAACTGGTTGGTGGTATACCCCTCTGAAAACATGAAATTGTGATCCTCCGAACATTGGTCAAAACTTGACACGAATCCCGAAACCCCTGGACTTCACATCTCAGAACTCAACAGGATCCTGAAGTGTCAGTTGGGATGTTCATCATATTTGAGATACTCAAATCATCTCAAATCCATATCTACAGAATACCCTCTCACATACGGAAAATCAACCAGACATGTTAATGTCGAGGAAATAACCTTCCATAGCATGTTGTAAACGTCTACACGAGGGTATATAACTGATGTTGCCGTGCCGTATTTCCATATCGGAAACATGTGGTTGATTCGGCCTTCCCAGAGCGGAGCGCCATCTGGATATGCCTCCGTTGGTCGGACAAACATGGCCAATCTATGAGCTCGTTAGTGTTCATACACTGATGGGATAAATAGGAAACAACATACGAACAAATGAAGTATAATATCAAACTCCTCAATCAATCTTGACCCAGAAAAAAATAACTCAGCCGATGGAGAACTAGTGCTTTGGATTGCTGGTGCAAGCCCTCCAGAGATGTTTGGTAGCAATGGGCTCCCAACATCAACTTTGGGTCATCACAATTCTGCATAAATTAGGTACAGTATGGTACAGTATTGTAAGTCCCAATATCAACCAATCAACCAAGGTTTCTTTCCAAACATCAATTTGAAACTCATGCTCTGTGCCTTACCTCTGTTGCTTTGAGAAAATGAGTAACATCCCATTTATCAAATGCCTCCACTATATCCCGCAAATAAATAGCCTGGTGAATCGCTGTAACCAGCCAAGATTTAATATGGGGTACAATTCCCAATCGTCGCTCACACTGTCTGGAAATTGGAATCAGCCCCCTCCTGCGCATCCTTTCCTTTTGGGGACCTCAAGAGGAATAGATCTGCGACTTCTACTGATGTCAACCTGATGGGTTTTTAACATTTTCCGCAATCAAAAAAACAGTTTCTTCAATGATTCAAGGGTGGCAACCTCAAAAATTGTACAGAATCTGGACGACCTTATTCACAGTAGTTCTCAAGCTGGTATGATCTGATATGTTTATATATATATACATATTTACATGTATTATGTATATATATATATACTACAATTATTACAGCGATAGTTGGAATGCTTCCATATCCCAAATTTACCCCAAAAAAGATCTGGATCAGGTCGCAACATCAAATTCAAACAGGGTCAAATCTGGGGTGCAAACGGGAAACTCGAAGCCAGGCTGTAATGTGGGATCCACAATATTAACCATCCCCAAATTGTGGTTTGTCAAATTAGTGAATACCACAACAACAGGGATGAATCACCATAGTTTTTTTCAATGATTGTTTCTCAAAAAATGGGGAGGTGGTCTAGTGATATCCCCACCTCATCTAACTACAGTATATCCCCATCTTATTGTTAGGTATATTCCCATTGTATCCTGGTAACTTTTTGTGCATCCTACATGATTCCATCATTTTCCCATCTTGCTGGCTCTATCCCCGTCAGATCCCAATTTGGTATAATCCCAACACACAAAAACGATGCCCGAATAAGTGCGAAACAACTACTTGTTTGGATCCACAATAAATATTCACCATCCCCAATGTGTTGTTTATTCCATGTTTTGCCACTGTTTGTATCCCATTCATTATATCCACATAAATACACATATTTGTTGGTTGGGTATGTCCCATCCCTATCGACTGACCAGCAGGACCAGCATCCGAGCTTCCAAAGAGAGGAAACATTTCCCATAATCAACTTTAGCAGAGCCGATGGACAAGGTTGATGCCTCCAACATGTTTAGAACATGTTTAAAACTACAGAACCAGGTGGCGGCTGAGGACGGTTGGCTGGAAATTTCATCAACTGGGAAACTTGATGGGAAATCTTAGCCGGAAACCAAATAAAACATGTTTTTGCTAAACATAGCGCTGGTAGGACACAAACTTATCATTATGATTAGGATCTAAAATCATTTCAAGTATTGGGAGGCCAATAATTGGAACCATTGCCAGGTGAAGAATGGAAACATCTGCATGTTTTCCATGAAATAATTTGATATAATTTGAATGTGAGCACCGCAGAATCAGGACAAAACAAATAAATTGGTATGGGTCGAAGTTCGGTACCCCAACGACCCATACCAAAAGAAATAAACACAACGGTAAGCGATCGCAAGTGGATAGTCATCACGCGTGGTTTCAGGCACCAGTTGCACATCATGTCCCTCATTTTTAGACAGACCCATGTCCTGGTTTAGATGGCTGTATGTATGTGTTAAAGTATCTACACAAACATGTTTTTACATGATATATATATATATATAAAACCGACAGTTTTATATGTGTATATTATATATATATATATGCAACTCCAGGTTATTGTTGTTGTTCAATTCTAAAACAAGAAAACAAAAACAACAAAATTCAGGGAAAACACAGAAAACATCGTTGAGCTCCAAACCAAGCGTTCTCCCAAAAGTATTGTTATTGTTCTGTTTTTGTTCAAGTAAAATGTTAGGTTTGGAACTCAAAACTGTTGTTTTTTGGGTTGCCTTGATTTTTTTTGTTGCACCCTGAAAAACAAAGAAACGTGAGTTTTGTTTTAATGACCAATCAATCAATCAATCAATCAATCAATCAATCAATACAGACTTAAGGTGTTTGTGTTTTTTCCCACATTTTAGGTTTGGTTTTCTGATTTTTAAAGTCCAAAAAACCTTGAAAAAACATGTTGTTTATTCTGTTTAAGATATTGATTGATAATCTGTATGCAAAGAAACAAAACTCAAGGTTCCTTTTTATATCCATTTTAACACCAGAAAACACACAAAACATCAAAGACCAGAGAACATCTTTGAGTTCCAAACCAAACATTCTCCCAAAAGTGTTGTGTTGTTTATTCTATATATATATACTATGTTTTTTCAGTTTAGTACTAATCTGTCATAGGAATTGGTTCACAAGGAGGAAGCAATGAGAATCAAGTGGTTAGATGTGTATATTGTATGGCAACCCCATATTTGAATGCACATATGTTCCCATCGTGAGAATTACACCTCAACCACTGATTTTTGGGGAAGGGCCAAGCATGTTCAACCATTGATCTGGTGGGTACCATATATATAGATATATATACATTGTGTATGTATGTCTATATATATATATTGATTAATATATATATATTGATTAATTTATTTATGTATATATACCTATATATATAGATATATTGTAATTAATGCAAATTTGATGTGTAATCCCTTCTTCCTATTACTAAACCCCCTCCTAATACTAAAAACTAGTGTCCATCTCCAATTTTTGAAAATTTCAGATTGGCCAATTTGATTTTTAATTGATCCCCTTTAGAAAACAATTTAAAAATCAACGTGCCATTTGTGGGTTTCCCCCCTTAATACAAAAAACTAGTCAGCCCCGGGGTGTTTAGTATTAGGGGGAAGCTTCGAAATCCCATTTTTGGCAATATTTTAATTGCGTTATATAAAGAAATTTAATTGATTTTGAGATCGGAAACAATAGTTTTTATTAAGGGTTTTGATTTAGTATTAGGGGGAAGCTTCGAAATCCCATTTTTGGCAATATTTTAATCGCGTTATATACAGTAAAGAAATTTAATTGATTTTGAGATCGGAAAAAATAGTTTTTATTATTAAGGGTTTTAATTTAATATTAGGGGGAAGCTTCGAAATCCAATTTTTGGCAATATTTTAATTGCGTTATATAAAGAAATTTGATTCATTTTGAGATCGGGAAAAAAAGTTTTTATTATTAAGGGTTTTAATTTAATATTAGGGGGAGGCTTCGAAATCCAATTTTTGGCAATATTTTAATTGCGTTGCATAAAGAAGTTTAATTGATTTTCATCCCTTCCTCCATTATAATGCATGAATAACATGACATCGAATTGGTTCCCTAATAATTAATAAATACCCCCCCAATACTAAAAACTACTTGCAGTGTTTATTACTAGGGGGGGGACGTTTAGTATTAGGGTGAAGGGATTATATAGATATGATGTGTAATGTGGGATACAGATTAGTGTGGGGATACACTATTGTGTCCACAGACCTCAAAATTATTGTGTAACTCTGGAAATGATCGAGGGGTACAGTTTTGTGTCCACAGGATTTTGGTGTAAGTTTGTTTTCATTCTTTTGTTTTTTAGTTTTTAATTGTTTTTTATTTTATTTTAAAATTTTAAAATATTTTTTATTTTTATTTTTAATTATAATAATTTTTAATTTAATTAGTTTTTATTTTATTTTAAATTATTTTTTTATTTTTATTTTTAATTATAATAATTTTTAATTTAATTATTTTTTATTTTATTTTAGATTATTTTTTATTTTTATTTTTAATTATATTTTTTTAATTGTTTTTTAAAATTGTGTCAGGATACACAATTGTGTCATTGTGTCAGGATACACAATTGTGTCTTGGTCTTTTGTTGTTCAAACATTTTTCATTGTTTTTCATTTTTTAAAGCTTTTTTCTTTTACTTTTTATTTTCCATCATTGAAATTTTCCCCAGAATCATTGAAATTTTCCCCAGATGCCTTCCACAGAAAATTACATCCAGGTACACAATAGTGTGGTTTGTTTGGAGGGTACACTATTGTGTCCTGCTGCTTCCTGAGGTCATGATTTTTTGATTTTTTCAATCATGTCCTTTACCTTTTCCTTTGCTAAAGTTTTTTCTTTTAATTACTTAATCCCTTTCTTAGTTTCTTTCATTTGAAATTCTCAGAAATGTCCAATTTCCCAAAATATATGATGCCTTATTAAAACCCAATTAAAACACATCACTCAAACAATTTTTCAAGGGGGTAGTCCATGAGCAACCCTGATACACAATAGTGTGGTTTGTTTGAGGGTACACTATTGTGTCCTGCTGCTTCCTGAGGTCATGATTTTTTGATTTTTTCAATCATTTCCTTTACCTTTTCCTTTGCTAAAGTTTTTTCCTTTAATTACTTAACTACTTTCTTACTTTCTTTCATTTGAAATTCTCAGAAATGCCCAGTTTCCCAAAATATATGATGCCTTATTAAAACCCAATTAAAAAAACATCACTCAAACAATTTTTCAAGGAGGTAGTCCATGAGCAACCCTGATACACAATAGTGTGGTTTGTTTGGGGGTACACTATTGTGTCCTGCTGCTTCCTGAGGTCATGATTTTTTGATTTTTTCAATCATTTCCTTTACCTTTTCCTTTGCTAAAGTTTTTTCCTTTAATTACTTAACTACTTTCTTACTTTCTTTCATTTGAAATTCTCAGAAATGCCCAGTTTCCCAAAATATATGATGCCTTATTAAAACCCAATTAAAACACATCACTCAAACAATTTTTCAAGGGGGTAGTCCATGAGCAACCCTGATACACAATAGTGTGGTTTGTTTGAGGGTACACTATTGTGTCCTGCTGCTTCCTGAGGTCATGATTTTTTGATTTTTTCAACAATTTCCTTTACCTTTTCCTTTGCTAAAGTTTTTTCCTTTTAATTACTTAATTACTTTCTTACTTTCTTTCATTTGAAATTCTCAGAAATGCCCAGTTTCCCAAAATATATGATGCCTTATTAAAACCCAATTAAAAAAACATCACTCAAACAATTTTTCAAGGAGGTAGTCCATGAGCAACCCTGATACACAATAGTGTGGTTTGTTTCGAGAGTACACTATTGTGTCCAGATGCTTCCTGGTGTGATGTTTTTTCAAGCATTCCCTTTACCTTTTCCTTTGCTAAAGTTTTTTTCTTTTATGGTATTTCTATGGTATTACTATTGGATTTCTATGGAATTCCTATGGGGTTTCCATGATGTTTCTATGATATTTCTGGAGGATTTCTATGGGATTTCTGAAGGGGTGCTATGGGAGTTCTATGGTATTCTTATGGGATTTCCATTGGATTCCTATGGGATTTCTATGGTATTTCTATTGGATTCCTATGGAATTTCTATTGGATTCCTGTGGGATTTCCAAGGTATTTCCATGATGTTTCTATGATATTTCTATGGGATTATTATTGGAATTCTCATGGGATTTCTTTTGTGGTTCCTATGCTATTCCATGTTATTTCTATGATCTTTCTATGGTATTTCTGTGAGATTCCTATGGGATTTCCATGGTATTTCTATGATATTTCTTTGGGACTACTATTGGATTTCTATGGGATGTCGGTTGAAAGTAAATTGGCAGTAAATTCAAAGTAAATTGAAAGCAAATTGAAAGTAAATTGAAATCAATTGAAAGTAAATTGAAATCAATCCAAAGTAAATTGAAATCAATTCAAAGTAAATTGAAATCAATTCAAAGTAAATTGACATCAATTGAAAGTAACTTCAAATCAATTGAAGGTAAATTGAAAGTAAATTGAAATCAATTGAAAGTAAATTGAAATCAATTCAAAATAAATTCAAATCAATTGAAAGTAAATTGAAATCAATTCAAAATAAATGCAAATCAATTGAAAGTAAATTGAAATCAATTGAAAGTAAATTGAAATCAATTGAAAGTAAATTGAAATCAATTGAAAATAAATTGAAATCAATTCAAAATAAATTCAAATCAATTGAAAGTAAATTAAAATCAATTCAAAATCCATTCAAATCAATTGAAAGTAAATTGAAATCAATTCAAAACAAATTCAAATCAATTGAAAGTAAATTGAAATCAATTGAAAGTAAATTGAAATCAATTCAAAATCCATTCAAATCAATTGAAAGTAAATTGAAATCAATTCAAAATAAATTCAAATCAATTGAACGTAAATTGAAATCAGTTGAAAGAAAACTGAAATCAATTCAAAATCCATTCAAATCAATTGAAAGTAAATTGAAATCAATTCAAAATCCATTCAAATCAATTGAAAGTAAATTGAAATCAATTCAAAATCCATTCAAATCAATTGAAAGTAAATTGAAATCAATTCAAAACAAATTCAAATCAATTGAAAGTAAATTGAAATCAATTCAAAATCCATTCAAATCAATTCAAAACAAATTCAAATCAATTGAAAGTAAATTGAAATCAATTCAAAATCCATTCAAATCAATTGAAAGTAAATTGAAATCAATTCAAAATAAATTCAAATCAATTGAAAGAAAACTGAAATCAATTCAAAATCCATTCAAATCAATTGAAAGTAAATTGAAATCAATTCAAAACAAATTCAAATCAATTGAAAGTAAATTGAAATCAATTGAAAGTAAATTGAAATCAATTGAAAGTAAATTGAAACCAATTCAAAATAAATTCAAATCAATTGAAAGTAAATTGAAATCAATTGAAAGTAAATTGAAATCAATTTAAATCTATCATTTTTTTTGATTTCACCGTATTCTGTACCCGGTACCTTGGTTTTTCCACACTATTCTGTACCCCAAATTTGTTTAAGGGGGGGGGGCCTCCCCACACTAATCTGTAACCTACATTATGTATATATATATATATACATATGGGTAAATTATACTATTTCACTAACCTGAATTAAGGCCATTTGGGGATGATTTCCCTTACTAACCATGATTCCAGTGAGGTCGTAGTGAGGTAGTTATAATTTACCCATATATATATATATCACATGCTGTGTACAGTATATGTCCCGGGTACTGATTCTTCCCATCCCGTCCTTGTTGCAATACTTCTTCCTGGAAGCTGAGGAGTCTGGACACAGACAGTGATGCGGAACGGAACGACATTGCGGTCAACCAACAACTTAAATGCAATGTGGACAAAGCAGGAACTAAAAGGAACAACACTAGAATACAGTTGTTATGATATATAGATCTATTTATAATTGGTTTCAACGATAATGGTCATCCGAATGAAAATGCACTGCATGTACTATCCCATTTCTTCTTGACTTAACGGCCATATCATGACATCATCAGCTTGCAGAGATGTTGTTTTGAATATCACCTTTCTTGCATCCCACTGTCGCTAATTGTCTGAAGCAACTATATGGGGGTTTCTTAAAATGGGCAATCCTAAAAAAAATGTTTTAATACCAAAATGGTCTTTTTATAGGATGATTCGGGTGGTAACACCATTTTCTCCGAAAACCTCAATTAATCATAACTCATCCTCAACTCATGACCATGGACGCCATACATAACAAGCATCATGTAGATATGTCATCATGATCCCTAGACGTGCCTCGAAGAAGTATCCGCAAAACACATCTGAACTATTCAGACCCCCTTTGGATTCGGCACCAAACACCACATAATATGTCCATATACCATATGTCTAGTTGTTTTTTTGATATATGTAATGATATATATATATATATACTTGTATAGATATATACATCTATATATGTATATATGTAAACATTTAACAAAAATCATGCACAAATGATCATACTCCCCAAAACTGAAGATTCTGGCGTGATTTCCCTTGCACATCCATGATTTATGATCAGCCGGTCAGCCCGGGAGGTTTGCCACAATTTCCCAATCATATCTCCATTGTATCCCCATTCTATTCTGGTTGGTGGTTTTAACCATCTTGACAAATATGAAAGTCAATGGGAAGGATTATCCCATATATTATGGAAAATAAATTACTTTACTTCGTGTGATCCCCACCATGACATTTATACATTTTGTTACTGGCAAATCTTCTGGCATTCTATCTGACATATCTTCTGGCATTCTATCTGGCATACACTACCTAAAACAAACCAAGATGTCATTTGCAAAATCCTGGATCCCAACATAACTGCCGCCCAGCCTCACATCCATGTAAGTGGAAAAATGCAGCTTGGACATTGTTGAAAAAACTTCCTAACATAGATCCAATCGTGGGTGCACAACTATGTCTGTGGGTTTTTGCACATGGTTTTTGCATAGAAAATGTTACTAACATGACTCTGGACAGGTTACAAAATCTATGTGATATGAAACTTGCATTCTGCTTGCATTTCTATCTGGCAAACATTCTGGCACTTTATCTGGCATATCTTCTGGCATTCTATCTGACATCTTATCTGGCATTCTATCTGGCATAACTTCTGGCATTCTACCTGGCATATCTTCTAACATTCTATCTGGCATATCTTCTGGCACTCTATCTGGCATATCTCATGGCATTTTATCTGGCATATCTTCTAGCATTCCATCTGGCATATCTTCTGGCATTCTATCTGCCCGTTGAGGTCCAGCAGTGCACACTGAGCTGGGAAGGTCCCCGGTTGAGGTCCAGCGGTGCACACTGAGCTGGGCAGATCCCAGGTCCAGCGGTGCACACTGGGCTGGGCAGGTCCCAGGTTGAGGTCCAGCGGTGCACACTGAGCTGAGACGGTCCCTGGTTGAGGCACTGAGCTGGGCAGGTCCCAGGTTGAGGTCCAGCGGTGCACACTGAGCTGGGAAGGTCCCAGGTTGAGGTCCAGCAGTGCACACTGAGCTGGGAAGTTGGCAAAGAGCTTGGCGAAGAGAGTTGGCAAAGAGCTTGGCGAAGAGCTGGCAAGGTGGAAGTGGAGGTGGAAGTTGATGCAGACATGATCGAGGGGAAACTAGAGGAGGAGGAGGAGGACGAGGACGAGGAGGAGGACAGCTAGCCGAGGAGGAGGAGGAGGAGGAGAACAACTCTGATAAAATCTAACAACCCTCACCTGGCAGGTGGGGAAAAATGTTTGAAACCACCAACCAGTATTAACCCCATGTCCCCATTATCTTTTTGATTTTATGCCAATGTTTGTTGGTTTAACTCCTTATAAATCCGAATTGTCCCAAATATATCAACAGTACATGATTAAAAACACACTATACCAGCATATTTGATCATATTTCTTGGTCAACTCCGTTTCACCGCCATGATTCGCTTCGCTTCAAATGAACGCACTGCACCAAGGGACGGGGCTTCGTCGTGGTCTAAAACAAAGCTGGCCATGACGTAGTGCAGCCAATTCTCTACTTTCCTGAGGACAGCCCTGGGTGCACAACCTGTAAACGATGTGTGTATATATATACATATGGTTTGCAGGAATCCATATGTGTAAAAACGGTATATACGTAAATACAGTATGAGAACTGTGTATGTATATTATCAGCATATTACTTTTGGTTGGGTCATACTTTGGGTCAACGGTTTATCACACAAAGGGGGTGTTCCTGTAATTGTTCCCTTCAGCCAATTCTGGGAGGTTAGGATTCATATGTATATATATAATTTGATATAATTAAATTGTTTGACGTTGTTTATCTATATTGCCATGGAGCCAAAACAAACAACCAAATACACAAGAGCAACCACATACCACTCATGACCAGATTCTCCGGTCCGTTTTGACACCCATTCATGTGCTTAATCGATCTAGAGGACGTGCGTGAGACATTGGAAAGAAAATCATTTTGATCAAATCTCCGAGTGAAATTACGCTCTCAACAGGGAGCAGGATCACTTTGGAGCACAGTCTGAAGCGTCACTTTGGAACACAGCCATTTTAGCCTCACTTTGGAACACAAAATGATACACATCATCAAAACAATGCCAACCACACTGACATGTGAGTTACTGACAGGCGCACTACTTTGGAAGCCTGGCGCGTTCCAAAGCGAGGTCAGGATCAAAAATAAGCCTCCTATGAAAATTATAGCCGTTAGGAAGCCATACCTCTTCAAAATGCGCGCCCTCACTCACTTGCGCACCCAGGAGCAAAATGTCACTCACTTGCGCACCCTGATCATCTGTCCTTCATGTTCTAGTGCGCTGGGGTGGGATGGGGTGGGGTAATAACGTTCACACACCGGCACAGCAACCTCATCATCTTTCTTGCTGTCCAGCAGACACAGGCACTGCTCTTTCATGATCAGTTACCGGTGGGGTGGGGTGGGGTGGGGTGGGACAATAACGTTCATGTTCCTGTACACACACAGGCACAGCAACCTCATCATCTTTCACTCAGACACACACAGGCACCCACCCGACGCACACACACTCATTACCAATATTTACGCTACGGGTACAAAATCCTTCACCGAACATAAAGAAACAGCAGGATCAGCACGCTGCACCTGTACGTAATCGTGATGATGATGATGATGATGATGATGATGATGGTGATGATGCTGATGCTGATGCTGATGCTGAGGTTGATGCTGCTGATGATGTTAATGTTGATGTTGATGTTGATGTTGTTGTTGATGATGATGATGATGGTGGTGGTGGTGGTGATGGTGATGACGATGATGACGACGACAAAGAAGAAACATGATGATGATGGTGATGGTGATGGTGATGGTGGTGGTAATGATGATGATGATGATGATGATTGGCCTTAGACGGGGATGAAGATCTTAATTGTCAGGCGCGTTCCAAAGCGATGCTTGAGACCGCGTTCCAAAGCGACGCTTTTGAGCGCGTTCCAAAGCGAGGGCCTAACCCTCTCAACATC